AATTTCTTACATTTAGTCATTTTTTATGCACATGTGATACAAACTTTTCTGCAGCACTTTAGACAAATTGGATTGTTACATTTGATACACTTTTAAAAAAATCTTTCTGTCATTGGAAGATGGACATTTGGAACAGGTCTTCTCAAGCTTGTCACTCAAAACTTGAGCATCTCCAGCAGTAGTATTTTTCATATTTCAGTATTGCTTCCTATATCAATGCTGCAATATTTCTGGGAAGATTAGGAATAATGAGTATTTTTTGATATGTGGGTTCAACAGAGTGAGACAAGCATTTTAAAAAATGGAATTTTTTTATGACTGTATTTTCACAATTGACAGATAAGTAATTCTTGAAGATTTTGTTATTTATGGAATATCCATAATAAAGAGCTCTGAAATTAAGAAAAAGCTTATTCCAAAGCAACAAAAGTAGCAGTTGAAAACTATATAATATACACTATGAAACATTCTGTTGTAAATATCTTTGCTTTCTAATATGTAGTATGTAACATCTGGTCAGTAAGATGTTCACATTTTTAAAAAGTTGTATGTATCTTGAAATAATTTGTCACAAACTGAACAGTAGCAAATGCATAGTATAAGCAAGCATTTGAAAATAAAGTATCATGGAAAGGCAGAATAAAATTTAAACAATTCTTTTGCATTATAACAGCAACAGTCTCACAGACCGATGTTTCTCTTAAGAGGTTAATAAATTAAATTATTTATTAATGATTATTGCCAAATAAGATTTTATAGAATGATTTCAAGTTTAAAATGTTTAATAAGTTATATTTGAAAAGTATTGATTTAAAATATTTTAATTGTTATTCAGATTTCTCATTAAAAGGATAAAAAGTTAGCATTACAGTAATGATTACTAATTGTTGTATTTATTGTGTGGTAGTTTTAAATTATACCTTATTTAATTTACAATTAATAAAATAAATTAATTTCAATTAATACAAAATTAATTACTTAAATGAATTAAAACTAATTAACAATTAATATTGAAGTTTGAATGCTTAAATATCAGTTTTTACTGAGAGAATTAATATTAGACAATTGTATGAATTTAGACATTTTTAAATTCATTACTTTATCTGGTAAATTTCTCAACAATAATCTATTTATACTTATAAAATTTATTTTATTCATGTGTTCTATCTCTTATTTTAATTTATATGTAATTGCATTTTAAATAAATTGAAAAGTACAGTATATTTCTATATCTGTGTCTTACTAATTTTTCAATGAACTGTCGTTAAGCTGTCCAAAAATCATAATCTGCTTTCTTATAGGCTCAGTATTTGAAACTGAGATTCTGTTCCTGGAAATAAATTTTGAATAAATTGTACAGTAGATATATTCTAAGACACTGTTCATGCAATATAATAGAAAATTTATACCACTCATAAAAATGGAGGTTGTAAAAATGATGTCTACTATATTGAGAATGAAATTTCACAGCACATTGGAATAATTGGCAGATCATAAGACATTGATACATTTTTTGGTGAAATGTAGTCAACTAGGTAAATTTAAAACCAATGTCTTCAGTACAAAATATTTCATTTCAAAAGATGTTATTTGTACAGTTACATTGGCTTCATTTGTTTATTCAATGACATGAAATGCTTTAGTGGAAACAGACTTTTATTATAAATTTAAATGGCTCATTGGATGCAAATAGAAAAATCCAAAATCAGAAAATGTCAAAACACACAGTAGACTATGCTTATCCAAAAATTCCAGCAAAATTTATGATTGCCTAATGATTTCTATGATTATTTTTGAATGCATTTATCCATTTTGGTTTCTTTTCTTAATGACTCTTTTTATTGTTATAACATACAGTATATTGTCGTAAGTTGTTTATCAAGTCATGTAAGATGATGGTGCTTACAATTATAATTAATAAATTTTCAAGTTTTGCATTTTTTAATGCCAGAGTCAATAAAATTAGAATGCTCACTAATTGTAGTTTCATTTAAATATGCTGTTTAATATTGTCATCATTCTGTTATTGTTAGCAGTATAGACAAGTCCCAAAAGTATTACAATCAGTGGATTCTATTGTATTTTGTTTTACAAGGCATCAAAATTTAATGCTGGATGTCTACACAACAAAATGGCATGAAAACAGTCCATTTCTGAAAAAATGTATAACTTGCTAAACATTAACTTAAATTGCAATTTAGTTTATCTTAGTATTATTATTTTTTGACATTAAAAACTAAAGTACACATTAATCCTGTAAAGAAAAAATTTAATGATGAATTAATGTTTTTAACCTTTTTCAAAGGCCATCATTGGGTTCTAAAGATGGAATGTAAATTCGAACAGAAAATAAAATTCAAATATAATTGAATAGATGTATGTTGTACTACATCATGTGTGCCAGCATTAAAAAGAAATAAAGAAACTCCTAATACAAGATGAGTTTAATAAAGGAAAGGTAAATACAAAATATGATAATTAAATAAATAAATCCCAACAAAATAATAATCAAAATTTTAAAAAATATATATGAAAGTCAATCTGTACAAAGTACTGTATAGTCTGTCTATGCAAAGAATCAACTTGGGTATTAACCAATGAGCATCAGCCATTGATTGCTTAGTTGTGGCAAGCTACTTTTGGTTTCTTCCTCTTTTGTTAAACATAACATTTTGTTAAAGTGTTATGGAAACTTTACCTAATGGCATTAGAATATGAGGAAGTTTGCTATAGTAGTAGTTAAGTGCATCATTCTTTCACAGCTAATGAATGGTATAAAAAATTATCACAATTAACAGAAAAGTTGTTCTGCCATGTAATGAGAAAATAAAATGAAATTCACATATTCTTTGAAATATTCAGCAAAAAGTGCTTATTGGTTTAACTGAAACAACATCAGGTGTGATGTTGCTCTCAAGTTGATTCTTTCCATAGAAAGACTAAACAGTTTGTATGTAGCAAATAATATAATAGTGTATGCTTATCATTTGTCAACTTAAATGAGGTCTTCCATGCATGTGACAAAGGTGATATGTCCCTGTGGTTGACTGCAGTGCATTTAAGTATACCTCTATATATTTTCAGTATTTCCAAATATTTAAGCTGAGAAGGAACTGAGGTTTGGTGGAGAAGACTGCTCTATCAAAAAATACTTGAAAGTCTAGGTCTGAAACAAAAGTGACCAATGCTATATTCTTCAACTTTTTGCAATGGATTCCTGGTGCTTCTTTTAATGCCTGCTTACATGACGTGTCACAATGTATATCTGTCCAATTACATTTGAATTTATGTTCCATTTTAGAATCTGACAATGGCCTTTGAGAAAGGTTGAAAATGTTAGTTTGTCAATAAATTTTTGTTCTTTACTGGATTAAGGTATAGTTAGGAGTTTTTAATGTTAAATACATCCAGTATTTAAAGTGTGGTCAAAATAAAATTGTTTGATATTTAGATTAAGAATATGAAACTGGTATAAATTAAAAAATATACAGAGAAAATTATATTGATGGAAAACGTTGGGATTGGATTGCTGGTGTAAATTAGAGGTAGAATCCCAAGAATAAATACATTGTCATGTTTTCTTTAAATATGTTTAAATTTTATTAATCTAATAACAATAAACTGATTGAGTTTAAATCTTAAAAATCTTAATGTTCAGTTTAATAAAAAAAATTTTTGCATTTGAAGTTAGAATATGGTACTTAGAAAATGGTGTAAAAAATTAAATATATTGATATATAAACCATAGCTATAAGTAATTTCCTTCCAAATGCATATTGTTTTTATAAGCTGTACTTTTATATTGTTTTAATAAATTTTGAGAAAATGTAAAGAACCATAAATAATTATTTAAAAATGAGGAAAGGAAGAAAGAAAAAATCTTGATATTAATGGGAGTATTAATATGTGAAGGTTGTATCATCTTTTAGTTCCTGGTGTATTGCCTCCATCTAAACTCCTCTTGATATAACTGATATAATAATAATAATAAATATATATGTGTGTGTTAATTAAATTTACATTTGCATAAAATTTAAATGTTTTTTGCAAATGTATTGCTATATATTTATAAAATTAATAATAAATTGCAAACTTAAATTTTTTTCAATTCAGTAATATATATCATTCATTGTTAATATTTACTTATAAAAATTAAAATAGATTTCAAGTGTTGTTGATGGTATGTATGAGAAGTTTTGGAATATCTTTCTTGCCTTTGCATTGAAAAATCTTAATGTTATTATTTTTTTCTTTGTTTATTCAATTGATTCTATTCTACGGCAATGCAAAACAGTTAAGTATTATCAATTTAGATACATAATTACTCAAATTTTAATATTGGAGAAGTTTTAATCAATATAGCTCTATATAAATGTAAGCAATTGATAGCTATAAATTATATAAAGTAAACATTTTATAGTAATAATTAAATTTAGTAAATAACTTTTAGTTTATGAATATATAACACTGAATTTAAAAAATAAATATATTTGTTATTGGAATGCTATTGTTTAATATCTTAGATTGTAATTAATTTTAAAACTCTGAGTTTGAGTATGGGTATATCAACTCAACATATTATCAATCATCTTATATGTAATTCAATAAAATTCGTTTTGTCTTAATATTGAACTGCCACCATAGGAGAAATTGAAGTGTAAGTATGGAATTTTGATCTGAACCAGAGTCCTGTCACAGATGTTTCAATGAATTTGATCCAATTTTCTGTTAAGTTGTATGTATAAAGCAATTATATAAAGGTTTAGAAAAATATTTTGTATATTTTAAAATTGTAATAATTTTATTAATTTTGATAAATTATCACTATTATTTAATTTATGCTTTAACAAGTTTTAAATGTAAGAATTATGTATAATTTTTAAATTTTATAATGGTAATTGTTTTATACTTGCAACATAATTGATGTAGATAATTATTAAAAATATTTATACTTATATATTATACAAAAATTTTATTATATATAAAATAAAATAATTAANAAAGATGAAAATAATATAGTAATAACTTCTCGTAGTAGGAAGAAAAGACAAATTGATCGGACAGATATAGGAAATAGGTCAAAATCCATAACTGATAAGCATTCAAAATCATCACAAAACAGACAGAAAGGAAAGAGGGATTACAGTGAAATGTCTTCGGATGAGGAAACAATCAAATTAAATCACAAAATTTCAAAAAGAAAGAAAATTGAATTGTGTTCTTCGTCTTCGTCGTCGTCATCTTCATATTCTTCATCGTCGTCATCAACTTCGCCCATAAGTCATAAAGTTAGGTTAGTATATTAAATAAATTTAAGCTTAATTATTATTAGTATATGAATATAATAATAAAAAATAAAATTTTATAATATTGGTAATGTAAAATCAGTTTGTGTTAAGAATAAGCCAAACTGTCTTTCGGCATTAAGCTTGTTTAGTTTGAAAGATTTTTAATTACAAACAAGCACTTTTGACATTGCAGCATATCATCTCAGATTGAGTGTACAGTGAAATTCCATTAACATGTCATTTGGTATGCCAGCATGACCAGCTTATCTTTGAAGGGGAGTTATTGATGCACTGGGTATTCATCTGTATTTATACATAATTAGGTAGTCAGTTAATTAAAACTAAAAATAATAAATTTAAAAGTAATAAAATAATAATTAAAACTTTGGCCTTTACACCAAAACTGAAACTAAAAGTAAAATCAAAATTAATTACAGTAGAGTGTTGTTTATCTGAATCAATTGGGGACTGAGGTTGTTCGGATAACTGATTATGTACAAAAAAAATATATTAACCTATCCTATGTTGAAATTTTTCTCTGTTGTGTGTTGCTTTGCATTGAATGTTCGTCAATGTTAAGCTTAACTTAAATTTTTTAAAATAATAATCGTGGCTATTGTATTGTTAAAAATTATTTATTTATTTTGTACAAACAAAATAAATATATTGAAAAATATAAAAACAAAAAAATTATATTTTGGAAGTTAACCTGTCCTACGTTGTTCCCAAAAATATTCCTGTTGACCTCATTGACCTGTGTGGGCGATCCCGAATATTTTCGTGTTTACCAAAATTCACAAGCCAAATTACATAATGATAACTTAATAACAGGAACTGACAAAATTACTTATAATATTAATATGAAAAATTTTTGTATATGTAGATACCTTTTTACCTTATTCCAACTTGATAAACTTGGGAAGATGATATAACACAAATCAAAGGCATATACAAAGTTCGCATAATTTCGAGAGTAACCACTCCTTTGCTATAGTAAATTGGAATTGCCAAGGACTTAAATACAAAACTACATTTGTTAATTCTCTGCATATAAAATATAATCCGGTCATTATTGCCATGACAGAAACTTGGATAACATCAGATAAGTTTTATACTACAAATTTCTCGAATAAATTTATAATAGAATATGCAATGGCAAGCAAATCAGTAGGTCCCGGACGGCCGAGTGGTGGTTTATTGATTGAAAGGAAGTATTGTAAAATAATCCAAGTTAAAAAATCTAGGAATTAACTGATAAATTAGCTGATAAACTGTTAGGTGGAGATAAAAAAGTATATAATAAAATTGTTGAAATTCTAGATCTATTATTAAATTCAGGAGAAGTAACAGCTGATACAGTGAAAGAATATTATTCAAAATTTTTATCTAATTAAATGAGTAATTATATTAAGGTTAGAATCTATCTCAGCGAATCTCAAAAAAATAAATTGAAATCAGCCTTTAAGAATGATGAAGAAATATATTTACAAATTGATAAATCTAAACCTCCTAATCATGATATGTTTTTAACAAAAACTCAAATAAAAAATATTAATGAAGGAAAGAGAATAAAAATAAGTAGAACTCAATTAAAAAAGAATGGAGGCTTCTTACCATTTTTAATTCCTATTCTAACCACTTTGGCTACGGGAGCTTTATCAGGCGCTGCAGGATGGGGAGCTAGAAAAGCTTTAGATAAAGTAACTGGATCAGGATGTAATAAAAAAAAAACGGTGGTCTCCTTCTTACGAAAGGTCCTTTAGGTCCAATATGACCAAATTTCAAATTAAAGGGAAAAGGAGTAATTCAGAATTGGGTATATCCAATGAGACGATAAATGATAATTTAAAAAATGAAAAAGGTTTTAGAGGTGTGTTTACGATTGATCTATTACCGAAAACAATTAGAAAATTTGAAAACGGTATAATTAATTTAGATATTTCAACTGGAGATGGTACACACTGGGTTTGTTATTATAATGATCCAAAATATCCCTTCGTTGAATTCTTCGATCCTTTTGGAGAATATAAGTTAAAAAATGTAAGATTGAAAAGAGAGATAATTCCAAAAGAAATTATAAAATATTTAAAAACATCTAAAAAAGAAATAGGATATAACTCTAGTTTTCTTCAGAATCCTACATCTGTTAGATGTGGTTACTATTGTATGAAATACATAGTAGAAATAAATAAAGGAAACTCTCCCATTGATGTTTTATACTCATTTACACAAGAACCGAGCGAGTTTAATGAGAATTTTTTTTTGTATAAATGAAACTAATAGTCTTAGATTCGAAATATGTTGATAAATCAGAATACTTTACAATTGAGTTTAAAACTCCAATACCTGTAAATAATTCGAAATTAGCTCTGAAATCAATGTCTATGTGGGTTTCTTGGCATAATATCGATGAAAAATTTAATAATAATACCTTTAGATATTTTGATAAAACAAAATGGAATGAAGTAACGATAGAAAATGGAAATTACACTCTTCGAGAACTAAATAACTTTTTAGTAAAATTCTTTGGAATACCTCCTATAAAGTTTGGAATTCATTTTGCAACAACGAGATTTATAATTTATTTAGAACCCGGATATAAAATTGATCTGAGTAAAGGAAAACTCCACGAGATATTAGGTTTCGAACCAAAGATATATGAGGATGAAGAACAGAAAGGAAAATACATAGCAAATATTTCAAAAGGAATCGATGATATTCATATTCATTGTGATGTAATCAGTGGAGTAGAGTACAATGATTTCACTAGTGATATTCTTTATTCTTTCACACCGTCTCATCCACCTGGAAGTTTGATAAAAATTGAAGAGATTAATCCCATATTTGCAGACATTAATAGAAATCACTATATTTATAGAATTTGAATGTGGATAACTGATCAGGATGATAATTTAATTGATCTTAATAAACAGAGAGTTGTTTTTCGTTTAATTTTAAACTAAATAAATGAATTATAATAAACATAGACTGTTAGTTTGAAGTAAAAAGTATTATGGTGAAAATATATTTATCGATGCAATTAAAACGGCTGGTAAGAAGTTATTAAAAATAATAGGCAACCAAGCAAAATCTATGGTTGAGGATAAGACGAAACAGTTTGTAAAAAATAAACTTGAAAGTATTTTATCTAAAAAATCTCCGAATGTGGAAAACAAAGTAAGAAATATTATAACTAAGCAAAGTTTATAAGGAACAGGATTCAAGAAATTTTTATACTAATAAATGGAAAAGATTTGGGATTTAACTCTTCCTAATTATTACAACAATGAAATTGAAAGTTTTGAGTACAAACAGCATAGAGAAGATAAAGTTACTGTCGATGAAAAGGAATCAGCAAAATATGAATTTAATATTAAAGATGTAAATGATATGATTTTATATTCCAGTGGTTATATCTGTCCAGAACTCAAAATTATGAAGCAGGATGGTTCTTCGATTGGAAGTGATAACGTAACCTTGGTAAATACTGGAAATTTATTCTCAAGATCTGAATTACACATTGAAAAGACACTAATTGAAGAAATTGAATTACCCTCATTAGTTCATCACATTAACGGTCTTATAAACTTTACAAAAGATTATTCTACTTCCGACGCAACTAATATGCTAATATTATTTTTAATTGTCTACTTGGACTTAATTTATTAATAGGACATAAACAGATTATGTCCTATTAATAAATTAAGTCCAAGTAGACAATTAAAAATAATATTAGCATATTAGTTGCTAATATAATAAAAAGGACAGTAAGGCTTTTACAATTAACAACTAATATGCTGTTTTTCATTGACACCTCAGAATCACCAGATAAGCAAATTTTAATATTTGATGGAGCAGATGATCAATCTCTTGGAACTAAAGAAAAAAATGGAGACCTTTTTTAAAGGAATAAAGAAAAATGCAAATTATAACGAAGGATTTACAGAATGATGGATATTAACTAAAAACAGTAACAAGATCAAACTGTGGATACCAATTAAACAAATGTTTGGATTTTTCAATGACTTTAATAAAATAATATCAAACATTGATGTAAAATTTGTGTTCTGGAGAAATTCGAATAATGATATGATCTATACCGACGTTGATAATCCGAATTATAAAGTTATAATATCCGATATTTCTCTTTGGTTACCACATATTAAACTATATCCAGAACCTCAAGTTAATTTTAACAGTGTATCTCTAAATCCCTCATCTGATATAGAAATTAATTGGTGTTCTGTCAGATTAATTAAAAGTAACGTTCAAAATGGTTCTAGCAGAACAATAATTGTAAATACAACCATAGACGAAATCAGAAATATTTTTGTAATCCCACAATATCAAGAAAAGGAAAACGATCAGAATCAAAATAATATGATATTCGATAACTTAGATATGATGAGATGTTGGTTAAGAATTAATAATGATAAATATCCAACAGAAGATTATAATGTTAGCTTTAAACCCGGAGAATTAGAATAGAGAGGTTGAGGCACACGTTTTAAATGTGTAAACGTGTACGTGTGACGTTCGGCGCCGCTTTCCCGTAAGCCTAAAAGTTTGACGATGGTGTTTGGAATGTCGAGCGTGATTCCACCGACTATCCAAACATCATTGTCAAACTTTTAGGCTTACGGGAAAGCGGCGCCGAACGTCACACGTACACGTTTACACATTTAAAACGTGTGCCTCAACCTCTCTATTCTAATTCTCCGGGTTTAAAGCTAACATTATAATCTTCTGTTGGATATTTATCATTATTAATTCTTAACCAACATCTCATCATATCTAAGTTATCGAATATCATATTATTTTGATTCTGATCGTTTTCCTTTTCTTGATATTGTGGGATTACAAAAATATTTCTGATTTCATCTGTGGTTGTATTTACAATTATTGTTCCGCTAGAACCATTTTGAACATTACTTTTAATTAATCTAACAGAACACCAATTAATTTCTATATCNTATAGATTAATTTCGTATTAGTCGAAAAAAGA